ATGTATGTATATAATGTGAGCTGTATGTATTATGTATGTAGTGTATGTATGTTATAGTATGTATGTATGTAATTATGTATGTATGTATGTATGGTAATGTATGTATGTATGTATGTATGTATGTATGTATGTATGTATGTATGTATGTATGTATCGTGATAGTATGTATGTATGTATTATGTTGTATGTATGTATGGTAATGTATGTATGTATGTATGTATGTATGTATGTATGTATGTATGGTATGTATGTATGGTATGTATTGTATTGTACATGTGATGTGATGTAATGGTATGTAATGTATGGTATGTAGTGTATGTACTGTAAATGTATGTATGTTATGTATGTATGTATGTATGTATGTCTGTAGTGTATGTATGTGATGATATAGTATGTATGTATGTATGTATGTATGGTATGTATGTATGTTGTATGTCTGTTGTATGTATGTATGTATGTATGTATAGTATGTATGTATGTATGGCTATGTATGTATGTATGTATGTTAGGTAAATGTAAGTATGTATGCTATGTAAGTAATGTATGTATGTATGTGATGTATGTATGTATGTAGTGTAATGTATGTATGTATGTATGTATGTATCGTATGTTATGTAATGGTATGTATGTATGGTATGTATGTATGTATGTATGTATGTATGTATGTATGTATGTATGTTGTATGTAATGTTATGTTATGTATGTAATGATATGTATGTATGTATGTATGTATGTATGTATGTATGTATGTATCGTATGTATGTATCCGGTATGCTCAGTGTATGCGTATGTAATCGTATCGTATCCCCGTACGCACTATGCGCAGCCACAACCGCCGCAAGCGATCTCGCCGGCAATTTCAGAAGGGCGATTGTCCTTATACGCCGGGGAAGTGTTCCGTCCAGACGATAAAAAATCTGCCGCATAAAAGCCCCGGGGTGAAAGCTCAGCCGAAATAATCCGTGAAAAATCGCTGATTCCGTGAAAATTCAGCCACCAATCGTCCTTCCAGCCCACGCTCCACTGGCATAGCAGTGGCTGGCCAGCACAGCAGAAAAATGCGATTGAGTATTGCTATTCCCCTCACCATGCCATCAGCTTTCTGGTATTCTGTGAACCGCAAACCGCCCAACATACTAAAAACAGAGCACAAACCAGGAACCAGGTTGAGAGCACTCTCACTGAGTTGAGAGGTTCAGTTTGAGGACCTACGATTCTCAGAATGCATTGTACGCATTCGAAAGCTATGGCATTTTCTGCCTTCAGTAGAAAAATTTCTTGAATTTCAATGTGCATGTTGCGGCGCCAAGCATTCACGTAGACAAATATCTTGCAGTGCACAAAGACCCGCACTGCGGCTGGCCTGTCTCATCCATTCTAATATATATTTGAGTCGTATGTATGTATGTATGTATGTACTGTATGTATGTATGCTATGTATGTATGTATCGTATGTATGTATGTATGTATGTATGTATGTATGTTGTATCGTATGGTAATGTATGTACATGTATGTATGTATGGTATGTATGGTATGGTATGTACTGTATGTATGTCTGTTATGTATAGTTGTATGTATGTATGTATGGTAATCTTCCCTATAGGCGGCCAAACGGCCCCTAAGGCGATCTGGATGCAATTTTTCACAGCCAATCTGTTATAAGCCCGGGGAGTGTTCTAGATGAAAAAAAACCTGTCAAAACCCGTGAAACTCACGCGGAAAATCTCGTGAAAACCGCCGTTAATTCGGCAATCCTTCGAACAGCAATTCAGGACTTCACTGCAGCAGTGCTGCCAGCAGAGCAGGAAAAACCTATGACTATTTATTGCCTCACCATCATGATCTGCATCAGCTGGCTTATATTGTGAAACGGCGGAAACCGCAATCAATACTAAACCGAGCATAACCAAGGACGCAGTTCAGAGGTACTACTCACTTTCTGACGTTCCAGCGTTTCAGTCAGATGCTTACGATCTCAGAATCGGCATTGTAGCGCGCATCGAAAGCTAATGCATTTTCTGATTCAATACAAATAATGTTGCTGCTGATCGATACTTGAGAACGTTCATGGGCAAAAAGGCCTTAACTCAAATAATTGGATACCGCCCTGATGACCTCATTGTCCTGGCAGACGCGGACGAGATACCCAGTAGTGATGTTCTTTGGTTTCTCAAGATGTATGATGGCTATTCTGAACCGATAGCATTTACACTCCGTTGGTCCTATTATGGATTCTTCTGGAAGGGACCAAATGACAAGCACACACAGGTGATAAGTGCAGCTACAATAGCATATGTTAAGTATGTGTGCGACAGTGATCTAATCAAACTTCGGCGGCCGCCTAAACAACTGAACAGTGATGCTTACCGCAGTGCCTTCAATCGTAGTGTCTTAACCTGGACCATTGGACCTCCGCAGGGACCATTTGCAGGATGGCACTGTTCCTGGTGCTTTCCACCACAGGGCATCCAAACTAAGCTCATATCAGCGCAAAACGGTGACTTTCCGCGTTGGGGTAACTTTAAGGCAAAACAGAACCTGGACTACATAAAGGGCCTAATTAGAGATGGGAAGTATTTCGATGGTTCGCATCCGTTTAATGCGATAGTAACCCTAAAAAGTGATGATTTTTATGCACCTTCCTATGTACTGAGCAATCCGAAGAGATTTTCTTACTTACTTCATAACCCCTATAGGAGCACATAGATGTGATTTAATAATGTGTCTGATAACATAAATTTATCACTCACTTGTTAAAAATTTCAAATAGTTTATGTACCGTTTATCACACTTTGACTGATTCCATACTGCCATCTAACCTCACTTGTGTATAGTAAAGGGTGTCATAGACGTACGTAGCGAAATAATACTGGGAGAATTGTATACTACTCCATGCAGAATACCAGTGAAATAGTAAGTAATTAGGTAAAGTGATGTGTGCTGTGCACTAACTCTTTTGTGAGATTGCATTTTCAAAGTGCAGGTTCGGAAATTAGTTGTAGTTTCTTATTGTTGATGTGGTCAAATTTCGTTTGATCAGAAATAACTTGGCATACAATGTCGCAGACAAGGGATTAATGGGGGGGGGAGGGGGGTAGCAGTGTAATCCAATGTTTACTAAATGTTGCCATTATATTTATGCATGCAAATATAGTGTGTGGACCATTTGATTTCAACATAACACTTTCCTTTGTCTTACAAAAAATGTAATTTCAAAACGCAAGCAATAATTTTTGATTATTGAAGTGGCACAAAGTTTACGCACGTCATGTTTTGAGGTTATAATTACCATGTATGATACATTCTAGATTGAAATCAGGGCCGTAGGCTGAGCATATTCCTAGGGGGGGGGACAGTGGCGGATCCAGGATTTCAAGGTGGGGGTGAGAAACAGGTGGGGGGTCTGGGGGTCCTCCGACAGAAATTTTGAAAATGTATATCGCAGGAGAGTATTTTAGCGCATTTGAGGCACTTTTAAGTACACGTACAACCTTCATTCTGACTACGACAATTCTCTTTTAGTAGAACATTTTCTTTTTTAAATTTTGTTCCAAAATCTAGGGGGGCAGCTGCCCCCCCTCCCGCCGCAAGCTACGGCCCTGGAAATACGCTTTGTAGTATTTTATCATCGAAGAAACATGGCAACTATTTATAACTGAGGTCTAAAAAGGTTCTTGGTAGCAACATTGAACACCCATTCAAACGAACTTATTGCTTTCACAGCGCATGCGTGATACTCGCGGCAGCGCGCAGACAATACGTATGTAATGCTAGTGCAGTGGTTCTTAACCCTTTTTGAGTCATGGACCCCTTTGAGAATGTGATGAAAGCTGCTGCTACGGACCCCTCCCCAGAAAAATGCACTTAAACTCATAAACACAATAATTTTTATGCGTCTGGGTCACGGACCACCTGAAGCCCATCCATGGACCCCAAAGAGACCATATGGACCACAGGCTAAGAACCCCTGTGCTAGTGTATCATGCAAAAACGCACAGCGTGTGCTAATGAAATCGATTTAATTTGCTTAGCGTTACCTGAAACCAAACTTGTAGGTAAACAAGCAGACCTGGTGTTCAGGATTAATGATTTAGGTGTGTACTAGCACTATATTTCTGTCTTTTTATTTGCATATTAGTCTGCGCTAGCACTTTCCTATGCATCCGCTGGGCTTTGAATAAAACAGTTGTTTTAATACAGTCAGAGCTTTCCATGGTTAGAAAATACAAGGTAGGCCTAATTACGAAGTTTATTATTTTAATTTAAAGAATCAACGTACAGATATCTGTTGTTTATCTGACACCATCAATTTAAAAACATTTTTGTTTTCTTGCGTAAATTGGTGGTGTCATGGCTTTGTGTTGCAACCATAAATGATCTATAGTTTTCTTCCAACGGCCATTTTAGGCAAGTTATAGTTGTATATGGTCAAGATTGACGGCAAGATTATTCATGTTATTAACTTTTTGCAGGAAGAATTTAGGTAAATATCTTTATCTATTGTTGGTTGTGTGATATTTTGCAGCCACTGGTGATTCTAGAGGTTTGGATTATTGGTGTGGATGCATAAACAAGAATTTTTTCTATATATAATATCAGGAGTAGATAATAGGGTTTATTGTAGTCCCTATTATCTACTCCTGATAATATATATTCATATACTCTTAGCATTAGGCATATATTTTTATTATAGTACAAATTATATATATCATGTTTTCAAATGCGGGTTTGTGTATCCATGGGAAATGCATTGCGTACTCCATTTCCCGGCTGCCACACTGTTTCTGATTTTATAGTGTATACTGACCCCTGAACTCCAGTTCCAAAATACAAAATTATTACGAAGTATTCCTAAAACCTAAGCTACTGCAAATGTCAATCACTCCACAACTGCTTCTTCACCTCAACCGTCGGCCAGCCAATTGGGCTTCCCTCCTACCTGAAATTCCGATGAAATCAATCACAGCGTTGGTTAGCCTCGTCACCATCCTGTCGTAGTTTAGGGCCTACATATTAATGGTAAAGATTAAGTCATTTATGCATCTTATATATCATTATAGTATATATGGTGATTGATTGGAAAAAAACGTACTCCGCATGTTATATTACCGCGCAAGGGTATAACATGCCCCCTATTTTAAAAACTGCTAATAAAATGCAATCTTATCAAACACAAAATCGACTATTTTTATGTCATCTATTTGTGTTTACTCTTCAGTCTTCTGATGTGGTTTTCACCACTGACTTCATTCCGTCGTGTTTTACGATCACGCTATCGATTTTCTGTCTACTCGTAAAAGTTTATAGTAATGCGCCAAATAATAAGTAGTTAATTTCGACTGGTACGCCATCGTTGTCATTAAAGGCCGCCGCACACCAGCCGATTTTTACAAACGATGAAGCGATGAAGCGATGAAGCGATGAAGCGATGAAGCGATGAAACGATGTAGGTGTGCGCGTTCATTTGTAGACGATTTTATTGTTATCGGGTGATCGTTCCAAAATCAAACATGTTTGATTTTGAACCGATTATTTGGACGCGATTTTGTGGTGTGCGCGTGACCTCAAGAAAATCGTGTGCGATAAATATTGAACAGCCAATAGCTGAACGTGCCCGTGTCACATGACATTCACCTTGCAGAAATTATCGTAGGTGTGCGCCGCACACCTACATCGCTTCATCGCTTCATCGCTTCATCGCGTCATCGCTTCATCGTTTGTAAAAATCGGCTGGTGTGCGGCGGCCTTTATCCGACATCAGGCAATAGTATATTGTGTGCGTGCGCATGCGTTCGTGCGTGCGTGTCTGCCGGAGTGTGCGTGCGTGCGTGTGTTCGTATCCAGCTAGGTTGATGTGACGTAATGTATATTGATTCGTGGAGAGTTTCTTTTAACTTCCTACTCTTGTTATGATCTTGTTATATTTACAGTGGGCTCATTTATCGCGTCATCATCGGCGGTACTATTAGTGATTAATAGCTCCATATATGTGGTGTTTAGTATTTTCTAGCTTCTGCTGAAAACCGCGGCGCGTTTTTTGTCATCTTCGTTTTTCAAACAAACTGCTACTGTCATTTGCCACCTATTTTCCGATGTTTACGTTATAGGTTTGTACATATACTATATTCTACTATATTGTATAATAGAGACATAATTGTACCTGTTTCTACTTACACTAATAACCGATGTAACCGATGTCGCCAGTATTGAATAAATAGTTAGAGAATGATTGATAAATAAATAATAGAATGAGACTGAGCATACACGCAGTGATCGATTGAAGAATGCATGCAAGAAATGTGTGGATTCGATTCTTTACAATGTTTCATCCATAAATATCTACTATATACATTGTATATACTATACAGTATGTATGTACTACACTGCATATATGTATATATATATAGAAGTAAAGTCACACACGAACCCCCGTGTAGATAAAAACAAAGTCACGGTATAGAATAAGGGTGTTTAAAGTTTAATTGACAAGCTTTCGAGATTACATTTCTTCATCAGGTCAGCAGACATTGGAATAGAATCAAATAATCAAAAACAAATACAATGCGTTATAGATAATCAAAAAAGAATGATTCATACATATATATCATATAACAACATGCGTTTATATGCGACACCGCGCGCATATATTTGGTAATTAATTAAACTAATCGTGGTTCAATAAACTCAAAATTCACAGAGATTATAGCTAAGATATGTGCCTATAATATCTAGAATTTTTAGAAATGTAACTCAATTGGTTCGCGAGATATCAGAGGAAGTACACTTTCCTAACGTCCGTTCGTCGGTCTATTGCCCTAGAAAACGCTGCGACAATCTGCGACAATCATCTTTCCAATATGGCGGCGTGGCGGACCGTTCAGTGAAATGCGCTCTCATTGGCTAGGGCCTATCTAGTTGTTATATGATATTATCTATGGATTCATACAATTCGCGCGTTGCCATGAATACGGACGACAAAAGAACACGCACACATATATATATATACACACACACAAAAACCACACAAGACCACACAGCACACACCGCACACACACACACACCACACACACACACACAACACACACACACACACACACACAGCACAACACACCAACACACACACACACACACACCACACCACACCACACACAGCACCACGCACCGCACACACGGACGCCACCCCACGCACACGCTCAGCCACCACACACACACACACACACACACACAGCACCACACGCACGGCACACACACACACACACACACACACACACACACACACACACACACACACACACACACATCACAACACAGGGAGAGAACGGGCGCGCGAGAATGGGAGAGAGATTGCGAGGGAGAAAGCCCCCCCCCAAAAAAAATACCCTAAACACCCTTATTCTATACCTTGACTTTGTTTTTATATATATATATATATATATCTTATATATATATATATATCTTATATCTATTGTCTATTATTAACTCCTGATCATATCATATCTACCCACGTACAACGTACATGCTGAGTGATCTAAAATTCTGCGTACAGGTGGCGCCACCAAATAACACGCTGGATACAAGTTGGACAATATGTAACAACCACCGGTACTTGTGCTACCCGTAATGCTATAAGTGCTATAAGTAAGTGGAAATTCCGTGATCCGAATCATTCGATCCTTGGATCGAAATAGAGGAAGAGGGACGAGGTATATGAGGAAGGGAGAAGGTGGTACAGGAGGAAGGAGAGAAGGTAGAGGACGAGGGAGAAGGTAGTGGAGGAGGAGGAGGAGGGGGAGAAGGGGAGGAAGTAGAAAATGAGGACAGGAAGGATGTAGAAAAGGGGTACAGGAAGTAGGTAGAAGAGGGGGAAAAAGTGGTGGAGAAGGAAGGGGAGGAGGAGGGTAGAAGGTGGTGGGGGAGGGAGGAGGTAGAGGAGGATGTGGTAGAGGGGAGTGGGAGTTGGGAGATAGGGGAGAGAGAAGGTAGTGGAGGGGGCGAACGTAGAAGAAGGAGGAGGGCGAGGATGGTGGGAGAAGATGGAGGAGGTAAAGGAGAGGGAGAAGGTAGAGGAAGGCGGGAGAAGACGGAGGAGATATAGGAGAGGGAGAAAGTGGTGGAGAAGGAGGGGGAGGAGGTAGAGGAGAGTGGGAGAATGGGGAGGAAGTAGAGGAGGGGGAGAAGCTGGTGGAGAAGAAAGGGGAGGAGGTGGTGGGGAAGGAGAAAGGGAAGAAGAGGGAGGAGGTAGAGGAGGGGGAGAAGGTGGTGGAGGAGGAGGAAGAGAGGAGAAGGTGGTGAGGGAGGGAAGGAGGGAGGGTGTCGAGGTGGTAAGTGAGTGAATGAGAGAGGGAGGGAGGGAGGAATCGAGGTGGTGAGTGAGTGAGAGGGAGGGAGGGAGGGAGGGGTCGGGGGTCGAGGTGGTAAGTGAGTGAGAGAGGGAGGGAGAGAGGGAGGGAGCGATCGGGGCGTCTTGTGCTCACCGGCCGGCCCGCAGAATGCACAATATATTGTAAGCGGGCAAATCCCACACGCCAGGGAGGTGATGGCGATGCGGGAACGCAACCGGTGTCAGGGGGAATGTACAAAACAGAGACGGGAAGGTCAGCGGTCGGGCCCGAGATCAAAGTGAGCCGTGGCTAGGGACAGAGCCGGCCAGCCGGAAAGCACGTAATTCCGTGAATCGAAGCATTCGATCCGTGAATCGAATCATTCGATCCGTGAATCGAATCATTCGATCCGTGAATCGAATCATTTGATCCGTGAATCGAATCATTTGATCCGTGAATCGAATCATTCGATCCGTGAATCGAATCATTCGATCCGTGAATCGAATCATTCGATCCGTGAATCGAAGGATTCGATTCCTAAACCGAATGGTTTGAAGCCAGGATCGAATGGTTTGATTCTCTTTTCTGATATAAAATCAAATAATGTGATGATTTAAAACAGTGAATTATTGGCGATTTATTGCATATAACATATGATTAAATAATCAAATATTATATGCGATAAAGCAAATGTTATATGCAATAAATCAAATGTTATATGGGATAAATCGAATGTTATATGTGATAAATCGAATGTTATATGTGATAAAATCAACCATAAAGCAAAAATCTAATTATGAAACAAAAAACATGCCATATAAGTAAGTGAACATTTATGCCCACATGATCCATTTTATCACACCAGTATCGAATCATAATCAATCATGAAATTATCCGCGAAGCAGATGATTTCCATATGCATAGATATCTAATATATACACCTCGACTATACCGCCTCGTGTATGGTAGATATCTTCATATCTTGTAGATATCTATGCCCATATGTATATCGCGACACTGACTATCGCGTTTATGATTATTAACTGTTCACAGAATCAGAAAGTCTACTCTATTTCGCCATCAAAATAGCAAACATAAGCTTCAAATTGTCGTACGAACATACCTTTGCGAGAATTTGCTCTACCATTTCAATTATTTTTTTTTAAGAAAATGCAATCATGCTTTCCGTAACCTAAACATCAGCTATTGCCTTCATAACTAAAACAGACAAACTTATAAGGAGAAAAGGCCACAGTGCTAATTTCAGACATAAGATTTTGAGACAGGTTAGATCTCAATAAAAACGGGGAGCGAAGCAGAATAAAAGCGGAAAGCAGACCACATTACTTAACATTTTAGGCGCCATACTAAGTATGCCTATACTAACATCATAATAGTATCAC